GAAAATGAAGCATACAAATCAAGGAAAATAAAGGATCTGTTCACTTAGCATACAGGTGATGTTATTTAACTAGAAAACAAACCATCCTATCCATTAGAACACAATTACATAAAGAGTCACCTACCTTTTGTCTTCAAATAAAGAATTATGATACACCATAGAGAATGTCTTTCTACCATTTCTTAAAACATGTAATTGTTTTAAGCATGCACTGGTTCTAAATACCAATAAATATCATAATCTTTGCATGAGGCTCCATATGTCTTCTTAGGATATACTTCTATGTAAGCCCAATACAGCAGAAGTTGCTGGCACTATTGACATTTTGAGCCATATAATTCTTTGTTGCATATTAGAATATTAGAATGGTGAGCAGCATCTGTGGCCTCTACCCACTAGATGCAATAGTGCCCCAAAAATGTGTTCAGACATTGCCAAATTTTGGGGGAACTGTCTCCCACTGAAACTTATCACTTTAGAAAAAACACCTCAGAAAGGGAGAGTGATTATGGACAGAAGAGGTGTTCAGGTAAGACAATGATCTCTCATTCATAATTGTAGACTTCTGGTTTCGTATATATGCTCAAGTACATCAACGTTCCCCATACTACTGGCCATTTGACTGTTTTAAGGTCCAATGTCTTCTAGTCCTAAATCTTAATTGAGGTAAGGGAAGAAAATAAGTCCAATTAAAACAACTCACAGTGGTAGAGCACTCGCTTAGCACGTGCAGGGTCCTGGATTCGAGCCTCAGCACCACATTAAAAATAAATAAATAAATAAAATAAAGGTATAGAAAAACCTCACAAATAACACAAAGGAAATATTTCAGCCTAATCTTTCCTCCATCTTCCACTTAAAAGAATATCTCGGTCATCATTTGCTAATTAGTTAGCATAATTCCAGAAGCTCTGACAAATATTTGAGTACTTACCATATGCCACAGACAGTTCTAGGAGCTGTAGAAAAGATTAATGCAGGGGGCTGGGGCTGGGGCTGGGGCTCAGTGGTAGAGCGCTTGCCTGGCAAATGTGAGGCTCTGAGTTTGATTCTCAGCACTGCATATTAATAAATTAATTAATTAATTGAAGGTATTGTTTCCCTGTACAACTAACAAAAAATATTTTTTAGGGGCTGGAGTTGTGGCTCAGAGGTAAGAGCGCTTGCCTAGCATGTGTGAGGCACTGGGTTCGATCCACAGCACCACATAAAAATAAAATTAAAAAATTGTGTCCACCTATAACTAAAAAATAAACATTTTAAAATATTTTTTTAAAAAAAGACTAATGTATCAATTCCATTTACTGAATTGAGAAATCACTCTAACAAACAACTTTTAACAGGTAAATCTTTGTGACATTGGATTTGGCAAAGGATTCTTTTTATGACACCAAAAGCATGAGCAAAGAAGGAAAAAATAGGTTAACTGGACTTTATTAAAATATTTTTTTAAACTTTTATACTTCATGTACACCAAAGAGAAAGTGAAAAGATAGCCCACAGAATAAGAGAAAATACTTGCAAATCATACATCTGATAAGGGTCTTGTACCCAGTATACATAAAGGACTCTTACAGTTTCACAATAAAAAAGACAAATAATCTAAATAAAAATTTTAAAATGACAAAAGATATAAATAGACATTTCTTCAAGAAAATATACCAATAATCAATAATCATGTAAAAAGATGCTCAACATCAATATTCATCAGGGAAATTCAAATCAGAACAATGAGATATTACTTCATACCTACTAGGATGTCTACAATTAAAAAGCCAGAAAATAACAAAGAATTGACAAGAATGTGGAGAAACTGGAACCCTCACTGTTGTTGGGAATGTGAAATGGTACAGCTGTTTTGGAAGACAGTCTGGCTATTCTTCAAACAATTAAACATAGAGTTACTATGTGACCTAGCAATTCCACTCCCAGGTATATACCCAAGAGAATGTAAACATGTTCACACACCAAAAAAAAAAAAAAAACCTGGTACATGAAAGTTTATAACACAATTATTCTAGTAACCAAAAGGCCCAATCAACCCAATGGTCTACCAATGAGCAAAAGGATAAATAAAATGTATTATATTCATACAATGGAATATTATTCAGCCATAAAAAGGAATGAAGTAGTGATACATGCTACAATGTGGATGAACCTTAAAAACACTATACTAAGTGATAGAAGCCAATCACAAAAAGGCAAATATTCTTGACTCCATTTATAGGAAATGTCCAGGATAGGAAAATCTACAGAGATGGAGAGTAGATTAATAGTTGCACAGGGCAAGTGGGAGGGATTTGGAAGGGGTTAGGAGAGAATGTAATGACAGCTGAAGAGACAGGAAAGGGTTTCTTTTTGAGATGATGAAATGTTCTAAAATTGTATTAATGTAATGGTGTGAATATACTAAAATATATACTATTTATATATTGTTTTTATTTTCATATATTATTATACTTTAAATAGGTGACTTTCATGATATGAATTATGTCTCAATAATGCTGCTTTCAAAAAACAGCATTCAAAATCCACTAGAAAACATGGCATTTGCACCATGGCTTATCAACAAAAATGTCTTTTTAGGAGGGGGGATAGTAGAGGATAGGAAAGGCAACAGAATACAACAGACACTAGTATGGAAATACGTAAATCAATGGATGTGTAACTGATGTGATTCTGCAATCTGTATACGGGGTAAAAATGGGAGTTCATAACCCACTTGAATCAAAGTGTGAAATATGATATATCAAGAACTATGTAATGTTTTGAGCAACCAACAATAAAAAATTTTAAAAAATGGCTTTTTAAAAATACCCTCACACCTAGAGAGATCTCATTCTTCTGATTGTCAGGTAGGAAGTGATCACTGAATGCTATTTAAACTATTGAAAACATCCAGGTAAATATTTTATTTGTGAGTACAAAAATCTTGAAAGTTAAAAAAAAAAAATGCTAGCATCAAGGAACTTGCCCAGGACATAAAGTACACGGATTATAGGTGTATTAGGGGGCTTTAAGTAATCAGATTCATGGTGTAGGGGGAGAGGTGGAAGCACAGAGAGTTAATGAGCTCATATGATAAGCCTAAACCTGGAAGACCCCCTTCTTTACCAGATTGCAGAGATGCGAAGAGAACAAACTTCCTTCCTGAGCATTATAAACCTTAGGAGGCTAAAAATAATCTCCCATATGATTTACTCCAGTAACAAATAGGAAGTCAACTAAATAATAAAGGGACAAACAAAAACAGATTTGAGGAAATACATAAAAAACCAAACCAATTCCCAAGAATGACTACTGGGAAGTTTCAGCAATCAGCATGTTTATTGCTTTTCCAGGCAAACATCTGATGATAGGATCTGTACGTGCACAGCACACAATTCCACTACTGAGATGTTTCAACCAGTCCAAATAAAGTCCATTTCTATGTTTGCCTAATGCAATCTACTCTATCCTATCCCACTGCAGAGCTCCTGGAAAGCCAGTCGAGTCCATAGCTTTCCAAACCTGAAGAATCACCAATGTCAGTGACAAGGAAATGTCCGGGGACATTCGAGATTTTTTTTTCTTTTAACCCTTAATAAATCTCAGTTTCTGCCCTGGCTACTGAAAACAGTCCAGTTCACCATCAGGCCGACTGTGGGTACCTCAGACAGCACTGTGCTCCAGTTTCAAAGCAAAATTAGGGCTAATCTGGAAGGGGGTGCGCAAGGAGAAAAACAACCAGGGGCGGGACTGGTTTTTCCTACAGTGCCTCAGGTTTCAAAATGACTGCCTTGGAAGCTGAAATGACCCAGATTATTGGGGAGCGGGGGGCGCAGATCTTCATTCCCCTGCGGAGTAGCTGTGGCTTGGTATGCAAATGGAGACCTGGGGGAGGGGGCATATCTACAGAGAAAGAGAAAGAACAGGCAATGGTCTTTAGGTACCACCCACCTCTCCAAGTGAATCACTGCAGTGTCAGCCCCGCACTGATTCCACTTGCCAAACAGGATGAGGTAAGGCACAAGCCTGGAGCCCCCTCTTCCTCCCCCTCCTTCTCCTCCTCTTCCCCCTCCTCCTCTCGCTCCCGCTCCTCCTCCCGCGCGCAGAAGGGCGCATCGCTCAGCGAGGTGCACCATGCAGCCCCCAGCGGCCCTGGCTGAGGGGGCTGACGTCACCCTTCTGCATTGAGCTTCAAGGACTGGTAGCAACACCAGTTAGATGGGGAATAGAGTTGGAGCGCTATAGCTATCACCAAGTCGCAGGGGTCCTCCCCCAGGACACTGTGAATTGGGTTCATGCAGTGAACAGAAGGACAGGATGAGGAGTAATGGACGAGAATGAAAAGGGGTCGTAAGATCTATCTTCTGGGTCTCCGAGAAACCTCAAAGATGCCCCCGGCTTATATAAGACCCTCTCCCCTCTGCGCGCCTCCACGCGGTGGCTGCGCCCGCCACCCTTTAGTGCGCTTCGGGGACTCGATCGCCCTTGCTTAAGCAGGCAGAGGGCTTTGGGCGCCTCTCTCCTGCAGCCCAGCAGGGTCGCGGATAATTGGGAATCTGGGATCAAACCTCGCGCTCCCTCGCAGGTTACTAGCCCGCCACAGGTTAGCTCCAAGAGGCGCCAAGAACCGGTTGGTAAGGTAGGGTAGGAAGGGGAGACCAGAAACGAAAACGGACAAATAAACCCGCAACTTTCCCTAGGGGCTGACCCTATCCCTCGAGCTTAAAAAAATAAATCAATACATTAAAAAATAATTTTTATAAGGTCGACAACCTGCAGGCACCCCCACCACGCAGCCAACTGCAGCCTGCGAGTCCAGGGTCCGAGCAGCCCGGACCTGTGCCCTGTGATCCCGCAGCCCCGACCCAACACCTCGCGCCGGTCTCCCTAAAAAAGGGGCCAAAATTTGGTTTGGGGATTGGGTTTCCCCCCACTTTCCTATCTAAAAGAAGAATATCATCACCCAGACTGATGGACGGATGCCCGGCCCCCGGCCAGGTGTGGGCACTCACCCAGAAGACGAAGGAGTAGATGATGAGGAGGGTTTTGAGACAGGTTATCACAGGTTTGGTCTCCATTCTCCTCGATGCCATACTACAGAGCTCCGGCGGCGGCGGTGGCGGCAGGCGGAGGGCGGGCGCGCGGGAGGGGGGAGGAGGCGGGGCGGGGCGGGGCGGGGGTGCGTGCTGCCAGAGGCCCCGTGCGCGCGCAAGCGAAGCCTTGCGCGTGCGGGAGCGCGCACCCTGCGGGAGCTCCCGCCGAAGGAGCAGGCTGGGCAGCCACTGCGCATGCTGGGAAGGTTGCCTGGGCCTGCAATCCCGCGCAAGCTCAGACCCCCAACCGATGTGAGGGTGGGGCTGGGGAAGGGAAAGCAAGAAGTCTTGAGACACTTGAGAGGTCAGGGGAACCTCTCCCAGACCTCCAGTGTATTTAGGTTTCTGCTTTCTACAGTGTAGGGTCTTGTATTTGCAAGATGTCTGCACCTGGCTTCATGAAGTTTATGGGCCCCAGTGATCAGTCACGTTTCTACATTTGGACGCCCAGCTGGTCTCAGATGAAGAGGCCCAGTAGTCATGTCCTTGGCAACAAGAAGGCCTTGTCTGTGTCAGAAACAAACTGTGACAGGTGGACAGAGATACAACTGGATGAGTGGTCAGGAACCTAGGAACTCAGACAGAGACACAAATCCTCACCACCTCATGAATCTACAGCCTCCCCAGGAGCTCCATTTTTTAGATTTCCTCACACTTGGAATTTTCAAAGCCAAATATCAAGAGAATTCTGTATGAAACATCATTCTCACATATAAAATGTTTAACAGATAACAATTTGATGGGCTTGAGAATCATTTGCCCCACCATAAAGAAAACTACATCAACGAGGTCAAAACAATGTTCAAAAACAACTTGAAAATTCCTCCAAATATTAAATATAGAGTTTCCATAAGAATTTCATTCTTAGGTATCCAACACAAGAGAAATGAAAACATGCCCATGCATGTACACAATTGTACATGAATGTTTACATGACCATTATTCATAATAGCCAAAAAGTAGAAAGAACTCAGATGTCGATCAAATGATAGATTGTGTATTTGTAAAATGGGAAATTATTCACAAGAAGGAATGAAATACTACTGATACATGCTATAATACAGATGAGCCTTGAAAATATACTTAGTGAAAGAAGTCAGACATAACCATATATTGAATGATCCACTTGTAAGAAACATCCAGAATAGACAGATCCATAGAGACAAAATAGATGAGTGGTTGAGGAAGACAGGAAAGGAGTGACTATTGATGGGTAGGGGCTTGCTTTTTGGAGTGATGAGAATGTTCTGGAATTAGATAATGGCAACGGTTGCACAACTTCGTGAATATACTAAAAACTACTGAATTGCATGACTTTTATTGCATGTTATTATATCACTATAAAAAAGTACACTCCACCCAAATTTCTCACAGCTGGTCTGTAAAGGAACACAGTACACATCCTGTAGGAGATTTAGCTTGATTCCTAAGAGAATGTGTGGTCACAACAACACTGCTATCACAAGCTAACTCAATTCTGGGTTAAGGATACCTTTTTGTGAAAGAGTGAAAACCAGAGTCAATAAAGCTTGGCAAAAACCTTTCAGAGTCAGTTGTTGTAGGAGTAATTATTACCTTCAATGAGTTACACATGGTCCCAGGTCAGTGAGGTCATTACATCAAATGGACACAAATGTGATGAAGAGGAAAATCTGGTTAAGGAAACGATCAATCCTAGAAAAAAGAGTAGTGGAGAGGAATATGGCTGCAGATGTAAGAAGGTTAGGGATAGAGTAAGCAAGGTGTATCTCTTAAAAGGGGAGCCTGCATGTTAATTGTCTCTGCTGCTTGCTCATTTTCATCATCTGGAGAGTGTTTTTTTTTAAAAAAAAAAAAAAACTATGAATGCCTGTGTCCAATCCCAGCTATTCTGAGTCATTTAGTATGAGGTAAAGGCTCTGCATTTTTAAAAGCTCCTCAGGAGATTCTAATATGAAGCAAAAGTTGAAGGCCACTGCTCCCACTGAGCTAAATTTAAAGCTAAGATCAGAAAGGAATCTTCTTCACTTTTACAGTCCCCAGGCTGATTTCCTTCTATTACTGAAGCAAGGAAAGGATTCTGAAGGGTTCAAACCCAGTTAGTACCCTCAGCCTCAGGAGGTCTTGGCCATGTATAACTACTTTATAAAGGGATCAGAAATCCCATTGTCCAGCCCAACAGAAAGTCTAAGTGTCATAAATAATTTAATGAGTTGATATATGATATTCACAGGTGACATCCATCAGCCTAAACTAACTCCTGATTTCACAGTTCATCTGGAACTTTTTTAGAGTATGTAATTGGGTGTTGATTCTTGAAAACCTGGAGTGCCCTAATAAAAATAAACTGTTTAAATATAAATAGTAACATAATTCATAGGTAAATTAAAATACCCCCTAACTAGATCCTGGCTCCTCAGATTGTGGTTTGTGATAGAGGATGACAAACCATTCCAGTTTGCCAAAAACTGATGTATTTCCTTGCATCCACGACTTTCATTGATAAAACTGGAAGTCTTGGACAAATCAGAATAAGTTGGTCATCCTATCCCCAAATTAGCAGTACTGAAATCCACCAGAAGAGCCTGTTGAAAAGATAAAACCTCAAGTCCTATGCCAAGTCAATGTTAACATGATCCCCAGCCGTTCAGATGCACAGTAATTCATTTGTCAGGCAGTCACTGATTGAATAGTGTCCCCCAAAAGATATATTGAAGTCCTAACCCTAGTACCTCAGAATGTGACCTAATGTAGATGTAACATCATTGTAGATATAATAGTTTAAGATGGGGTCATATTGGAGTAATGTGGACCCTTGATCAAATATGACTGGTGTACTTTAAAAGAGAAAACATGGGGAGAAAGCCGTGTGGCAATAGAAGAGACTGAAGTGATGCACCTGCAAGCCAAGGAATGCCAAGAATTGATGGTCACCTCAAGAAACTAAAAGAAGCAAGAAAGAATTCAACCTAGAGTCTTAGAAAAAGCATATATGTGAGTTGGCTCCAGCTTTCTCTGCCACTACTCCCCCTTTGGCCCTCCCCATCAGCTGCCTTGGTGTGAACAAGTGGGCTTCATTCTTTCTGAGGACTTTTCATACTGGCCAGGCCTGTTTTTTTCATGCTTGGCCCCCTAAATTTTCTGAATGGTTCATCCTTTTCTTGCTGTTACTCAAATCTCAGTATAGACATCACCTCCTCAGGCCATTTCAGCCAAAAATAGCTACCCAGTTCTAATTCTCTGCATAGCGCTTCTCTAATATTTTCATGTTTATGTTATTGGTTTTTGTATTATTTTCCCATGTCCCTCACTTAAATGTAAACTAACAGGGAAAGGCATTTTTGTCTTGTTGACTATTGTATATTCTCAGAACCTAGATGCGGTAGGAATTGAAAGAAAATTACTGAACAGATTATTGGTGCATAGTAGTGAGTGACTAAATGGATAACTGTTGACTGGTGGAATAAGGGTGTCATAATTGAAATGGGCCTTGAAGTATGAATAGGATAATGGTGGTCTTTGAGGTCTGGTTAGAAGTTCATCACAGGCAAGAAATAGCTCTAACAAAGTCAGCTTGAACTAAAACAGAAAGCTTACTCAGAAAAATGGGAAGGCACACTATAGGACCTAGAGGAGGAAATGAGGCAGAAATGTTGGCTGGGCTATGGTAAATGTAGGCCTCATTCAGACTAAGGCCAAGTTAGATTCTCTAACATAGATGGCAAGAGCAGTGAAGGGTCTCAAGGTAGTAGAATGCTTATACAAAATTTGAGCATACGTTCATTCATATATAGTTCTATTTTTATTGATATATCTGGGTTGTTTCCAGAATTCCTAACTGATAACCCCAAATCATTTTTATCCCAGGAATCAGAAATGTCTGCAGAACTGAGTTTGGATCTTCAAGGGTATGTTTTTTAAAAAGTACTCAGGAAAAGACTCAACCAAAAGGGGAAGGGATCTGAGCTTGGCAAACTTGGTTCAAGGGGACCTGGTAAGCATCTGATGGTTGCTTAGGTTGACAGCTTGATATAAACATGGAATGAGTGAGAGATGCAGGCCCTCACCTTTCCTCCTTAGATTGCCCCTGAGCCTTGGGAGTTAAGGAGATACATTTTTAAAGGCTAGACTAGGGTGGGAAAAGTCATAAAGAGATTGGGAGCACACAAGGTTTCATAGCCAATATAGCCTGCTGAACAAAAAATAGCAGGGACAAAAAGTACTGTTCTCATTTTAACAGAATGACAGTTGAATGGCTCAGAACATGGGGTGGGAACATAAGACACTCAACTTCCTTTAAAACAGAACAAGTTAAAAAGAAGGAAAAGGTCAGTGTCACTTAGTAACAGGACTGTATTAGTAAGACGGATAGTGGGAGCACTCACTGATGGCGAGGAATACTGGGTCGTAAATACATGTGTTGCTGGCAACTTCCTGAACATATTGGAAGAGATTTGAAAGGAGTTGTAGTTCCCTAATTCTTTTTTTTTATACCAACAATGCCTCATCTATAAATTCTCCTTACAAAAAAAAATACATGTACAAAATATATCTGTAAGAATACTGGTTTACATAAGCCATTACCAAAATGGTGAAATTAGAAACAATGTAAGTATTCATCAATAGTGATTACCGTCTGGAGTCGTGGCACACGCCTGTAATCCCAGCGACTCAGGAGGCTGAGGCAGGAGGACTGTGAGTTCAAAGCCAGCTTCAACAACTGCGAGGCACTAAGCAACTCAGTGAAACCCTGTCTCTAAATAAAATATAAAATAGGGATGTGGCTGAGTGGTTGAGTACCCATGAGTTCAATCCCCAGTACCAAAAAAAAAAAAAAAATAGTGATTCACCATTGAAAGAAAAGTGACCACAACACTCGGGGCAACCAAAAGATCTTTATTGCAGCAGTGCAACAAAGAGAAAAGAAAGAAGGAAAGGAGGAGAGAGAGAGAGAGAGAGAGAGAAAAGAGAAGAGGAGAGATGAAGAGGGAGAGAGCATGAGCAAGAGAGAGAGAGCGCACGCAAGAAA